GTTTGGAATTAAGTATTACATTTAAATATAATAATGTAATGTGGCAGTAGTAATTCGAGCCGAAACGTTTTTGGGTTTTTCTTTTGGCTTCGAGTCAACTTTTTCTTATTTCCGACGAAATCCGTTTGTGTCAGGAGACCAGAATAATCGACCCGAAGATTTATCTTAATTAACGTCACATTATTCGATTAGTTTTTAGTATTATAGATAATATTGAGTTCAGTATATTTAGAAATTTACATTCTTTATTGCGAAAATAGAATACTTTCGATCTAATTTATTATCATATTCATCTAAATCATTAAATAACAAACTAAATTACATAAGAATTTTTTTTCTTCTTAACTTTCTATACTCGATATAGGTGAAATAGATATGCTAGAAATTTTATCAAATGAAAGATTTTTAGTTTTTACGATCTTTAAATTTACTTCACGGATCTGATATCAAAAGTCTTAGAATATTAGATGAACTAATTGAATAAAAACTATTCATTGATGCTTTAATCCTATCCAATATAAATTATTAGAATATGACAACTATATGACAAACTTTGAAAGCATCTTGTTTGATGTTATTTTTTTTTTTTTTTGACTGAATAATTCTTATTTCCATCACTTCTTAGTTAACAATGCACTGTTAAGGTCTCAGTATCGAGATTGTTTGAATCGCTAAACGCACGAGAATCCTACAAAAGTGATCTTTATTTTGCAAAATTAAGACGCTTTTATAAGTAAAAACATGTAACGGTATTCACAGGAACAGTCATGGACAACATGCTGTAGGGCTGATTCATTAATAACTCACGAGAAAACCTTTGCAGGTATCAAATTACTTTTCGTCGGAGACGATGTTGATTTGATGTTTTCTGTCGAAAAGCTATTTGATATCTGAAGAGGTTCCGTTAACAGTGATTTTCTCTTGATTGTTTACTTTTAATTGTAGTTTTATTCGAATTGATTGAGATAATGATAGTTATCTTAAATTTCTGTTTATTTTGTAGATATGTCAAGTCGATTAGAATCTTTGCCAAATGAATTATTAATTGATGTTTTCAAATATTTTGATATTTCAAATTTATATCATAGTTTTTGGGGATTAAATCAACGATTTAATAATTTACTTCATTCAATGAAAAATTTTTCTTTCATTATTGAAAAAAATAATTCATTATCATTTAAAATATTTGCTCATCAAATTATTCGATTAAAAATTCAAACTTCACAATCTATTGATTTTAGTCAATTTTCAAATTTAAATTCATTAGAATTATGTCGAGCAAGTCAAAATCAATTAGAACAAATTCGATCTAATATAATGCCTAATTTGGTTTATCTGACAATATCAACTCCATTTCATATTTCATTACCTTTAGAATTAATACAAGAAATATTTTCAAATGATTTTCGTTTTCTTCATTATGCACATTTAAGTCGTTTAGATATATTTGAGAATTTTTCAAAATTTCAATCATTTTCTCTTCATACTTTATATATAACTTGTACTGATTCAAATATTATTCCTTTAGTTCTTCAAACATGTCCAAATCTCGTTTCTTTTCATGTTACATTTTTTGGTCAAAATCGTCATATTCTTCCACCTTCATCATCTTATAATCATTCATTAGAAGAATTTTTTCTTCATGATCCTTATCATAAATTATCATTTGATACAATTCATATTATTTTTCTTTTCATACCAAATGTAAAATATTTATGTTTACAATTTTTATGTGATGTACCATTTATAAATCTTATTGAAAATATTTTAAATAG